TCCAGCTATTCAAGTCGCACTTTTCAACTGTTGTGCATTTTATAACCAAAATGCCCCAGGACCATGTTACTTTTGCAGGAGACTGCTCACTGCACTGTCTTTGTACTACTATGGAAGTCAATATGTTTAGGTTTCAATTCCCCCTTTTTTCTTTATTGGTTTTACTAGGTTCTGAACTTTAGCCGAAGGATTGATCTGTTATTTATTTGTTTGTTTGGGTTCCTGTATACAAATAAGAGATACAGAAGACCATGCGGGGAAAATTAGAGAACCGTTTTCCTGTTCAACGAATGCTGATGAGAAGCCAGCGTTTTGTAAAACTGGTGTTGTGTTTTTTGATGCACCTAAATGCTAACGCAGTTCTGGACCGTCTGGTTGTGTTGAAGCTTTGTTCTCAAAAGTCTTCCACTGCACTATCCTCCCCAATATTTGATGTGAAATTTTATCTGCTTGATTTTCTTGGATTTACTTCAAAGTAGAAGAACCATTCAACAAAATCCCTTAGCAAGCTGCTAGATCAATGTAGCTCTGGCGGATAGTCGAGATGTCAATATCACAGAATGATTACTAAAATTAAGCTTCCTAAATTGACTCGAGGGAAATAAATTGATTTTTGACTTGAGCTAATTGGTCAACTAAAACCTAAGAATTAAATTACTAAACTAAAGTTACTTAATAGTAGTTGGGAGCAAATCCTTGTGACACATCTTTTGATCTCTGAAATTATTTTATACACCCAACATTCTCATAGTGTGTCTACTGTTATTAGTTTTTTAAAAAAATGTTTAAAATTACTCTTAAACCCCCGATTTGAAAAATCCTCTAACTTGTATAGAATCAATTTTGCAATGATTCCTCCGTAATAAACCCAAGAACGAGTTGGAAGAGACTAAAAACTGAAATTGCAACTCCTCCGTTCTCCATTTTCCCCGTCCATTGTCAGATCTCATACCACAACCAAACATCAGTTTTTCGTTTCCTTGAATTAAAGAACTCCATTGTCAATAAAATCTCCAACCTTCCCTTATATGAAGGAAACTGAGTTGGGGATTTAATAATTTCAGTCATTCTCATGAAATAAAGAGGGCAGCCTGGTGAACTAAGATCTCGCATTCTCGCTATGTGCGGGGTATGGGAAAGGGCGAGCCATACGGGTCTATTGTACACGGTTGTACCCTGCATTTTTGGAAGAGACGATTTCCACAGCTCAAACTCGTGACCTCCTGGTCACATGTAAGTAACTTTACCGATTACGCCAAAACTCTTATTCTCTCATGAAATACTGGATTTAGACAAAATATTGATGCGTTGTTTTTTGTTAAGCACGAGCTTGCCACGTAGCAAAAAAGGTGTGTATTAAACATACTATGAAAAGATTTGAGTGTGTAAAATAATTTTTGTGACAAAAAATATATCACAGCGATTTGATCCATAATTTCAAAAGTAACTTATGTATTCTGCCTAGTTCAGTTGGATTTGAAGTAAATGTAAGTACATTAGCCAGATATTCTAGAACGTCTAACTTCACGTTAATTTTGTTATATTAAAAATTAATTTCAATCGGAAATATGATGCAGTATTCCATATGGTGACCTGAGCTACAAACTTTGGTTTACGGACACGTTCATTTCAAACACCTTGGGTGGAACCAACAAATTATTCCGTAGTTGTATTGTGTCTCTTCCTCCGACCTAATTTATGTGTCATATTTTTTTTTTTTAAGAATATTAAAATATTATATTTTCGTATTTAAAATAATCTAAATTAAACTTTTCTTTTTACTCTTAATTAATTTATTTATAGCCATAAAATTTTATGGCATATTTTAGACAACAAATTTTAAAATTTTTTATTTATTTCTTAAATTTAGTATCTAGTCAAAGACCATTATATCATTTGGGACGGTAGGAGTAATAAATTTCAAGAGCTTTCACAAGTTTTTGTGACAACTGACAAGTACTACTGTGTGAAAAGGAGCGATTCTAGCTCATTGCTCAAATGTCTGTGAGCCCTAACACATGCAGAACGAGAGGAAGTAACTTTAGAGAGAAAAGGAAGCTAAGAGCTCTGTACTCAGATTTGGAAAATGAGTAATTGATTATCTCAAATATTGTACATAGTTATTTATACACGTGCTGATGTTAAATAACTAACTGACTTTCTTAACCACTTCCTAATTATGATTATAACTAATTAGCCAGCTATACTAGTACTTCTAACTATGGTTACATTATCTTAGTCAACTAACCAATCTCACTCTCAATATACTGTACTAGTACATTGAAACCTTTAAGAGTTATTACCTGCTATATTAGATGAACTGTCAGTTACATTTTCTTTGCCAAGCAACTTCAAAATTTGCTCATACTGTTTTGGTGTAAAGTAGGATCCTCTGATCCCTTCAGAGTTCAGCACTCCCTCTGCTGTATTGGCATAGCTGCTACCCTGTGCATCCTGTTTCCTGTTATCATTCACAACAACAATGTTAACTGTATTTTCTCCATATTTTTTCTTAGGTTTGAAATCAGAGGGATATCCAATTATTTTGAAGCATTCAACACGAGCGTGTCCCTTCATCTTGCAAAAATCCCACTGAACATTAAAGTTCTTTCTAGTTTGTTGCATATTTCTTCCTTTAGTAGTCATTAAGGCATTCATCTCAACATTGTCCATTGTTCCCAAGGTGTTTGTCATGCTTCTCTGGCTTTCTCTTTCTATTAACATCGAGTAAACTTTATTCATTGTTGGTATAAGAATCATCATTAGGATTTGACTACGAGCCTGCTCATAAGACTCATTTAATTCCATCAAAAACTGCAACAATTTTTGCCTTTTCATGAACTCCATATAATCACGAGACCTAGGACAATCACTCGGAGATGGATCTAGGGCATCAAACTCATCCCACAGCAAATGCAGCTTCGAGAAATAAGCAGCAATATTGTTTGTTCCCTGAGTCACAATAGCAATTTGTTTATGAAGCTAAAAAATGCGAGAACCGTCGATTTTATCAAATCTCTCTTTCAAATCACTCCAAACTGCACTGGCACTCGATGAATACACTATTCCAGTGAGTAATTGACTTGACACTCAGTTCATTATCCACGATAATACAATCGCATTGCACCTCTCCCAAAGATCAGTCAAGTTCGGACCAAACTTCTCCTTTTTGCATGTTCCGTCGATAAACCCTAACTTATTGCGACCTAGGATTGCAATTCTCATCGCATGGTTACACACTGAGTAGTTCTCCGACCCCGTCAGTTGTAGAGAGATCAACACCATTCCAGAATTATCTGTAGAATTTAGGAATAAAGAATGATTGTGGCTCAATTTCTCTGGTACTTCATTGTCTACCTCTGTCGCCATGTTTCTTACAAATTTCGAGTGTAATCAAGCTTCGATTGAAGATTTCACCCATATTAATGGCCGCAAGGGCTCTGATACCATGTGAAAAGGAACGATTCTAGCTCATGGCTCACATGTCTGTGAGCCCTAGCATATGCAGAACAAGAGGAAGTAACTTTAGAGAGAAAGGGAAGCTAAGAGCTCTATACTCAGATTTGGAAAATGAGCAACTGATTATCTCAGATACTATACATAGTTATTTATACACGTGCTACTGTTAAATAACTAACCGACTTTCTTAACCACTTTCTAATTATGGTTATAACTAACTAGCCAACTATAATAGTACTTCTAACTATGGTTATATCATCTTAGTCAACTAACCAATCTCACTCTGGCACTCTCAATATATTATACTAGTACATTGAAACCTTGAAGAGTTATTACACTCTATGAAAGTCATAAGCTCATGACAGACTTAATTGGAAGGACGCTATATAATCAATCAAAGATCCGTTGATTGTAAGTCGTAACTAGTGATTGCCTAGTTTCATGTACATTTCTTTTCATTCCTCCTTAGTTTGGACTAGAGGTGGCAAAATGGTTAAAAGAAAACAGTTATCCACCCATATTATCCATTAAAAAATGGGTTGGATAATGAACTTTTTAATAACGGGTCGAATATGGATAAAAACTATATTATCCACTTAGAAAATGATTAACCAAATGGATAACCAATGTGTTTAATTTTTATATGTATAAAGCCTCAAATTGGAGGTTCCTCAAGTTTGAAAGACTAGGAATTCTCCCACAAGTGATCATATTCAAGAAGACATGGATAATATGGATATCCATATTATCCGCCGGATAACCCGTTTTTTATCCGTCTAAAATACGGGTAGGGTCAAATACTTTATCAATTTTTTGAATTACCCCTTTTCGACCCGACCCGCCTGTTTGCCATATCCTCCCCACCCGTTTGCCATATCCGACTCGCCCCGCCCATTTGCCACCCCTAGTCTGGGCCTAAGTCATAAACGTTAAATACATAAAATATGTTTTCACAAATATGATTATCATTAAACCATAATGCATACCATATTTACTAACTCTTCTGCTCCTTCAGTTTTCTTAATCCCAGTCGATATATAAAGTTGCTCCAATAGTACGAGACACCAAGAATAGAAGAGACAGCAAACAGAAGATTTAACAAGATAGTAAAACTGGTGTTCAGGTCCGATTTTACAATATTGTACTAATGAGTAATGACAAGGGAGTTAGCAAATTTTATGGTCAGTTAAGTTTTGGTGACAGACTAGTTAATGAAACTTACTTACCAAACTACTACTTCAACAGCTAGTTGAAACATTATACTTAATTCTTTTATGAAACTCTCTGTCACTCTAAAATCGTGACTTTTTAAATGGAAGGTCACATCTACTAAAAGACAAACCTTCATAAATATAATTGCAAAAATCATAAAGTGTTTGTGTCCAAAAAATCTGTAAATAACATTGAAACCAGCTATCTGTACTTAATCATCTTGCAAACTATTTCTTCCCAAAAACAAAAAAGTACAAGGAGACAACATAAACATTCCCAACTATTTAAATCTTCTTGAACATGTAAACTAGTATATTGCATTGAACATGTAAGCCAAACCTAGATCCTTAATTATCAGATTTTGAAGTAGAAGTAACATCCACATTTCACATAACTTTTTCACTAGCAGAGAGAGTATCTTGTTCCACCATCATGTTCAGTAGGCAAAAACCAGAGAAGTGCATAGATTTTGTTAGGTGTAAAAGGAAGAATGTTTCCAGTCATGGGATTAAATCAGTCAAAACAAAGCAAAGGAGTGTATCATACTGACTCTAAAATCCAACAAACAGATTCCCTTCCATTCAGCACAGCAACATTGGGTCTTCATCTAGCTTCATTCGCCACCTCAGTCAGTCCGTGGAAGCTGTTTCTTTTCGGCATTTGCAGTAAGTAGTGACTAACCAAGAGCTACGTCATGTGTCTAAAGTATTTGCACTTCAATTAATACATCCAAAGAAAGATTTGAAATCAAAGAAGCGTATCACACATATAAAATCAAAGGTGACAAAGATTAGAGTGCATTGGCAAAATATGGTTTAGTTTTCCATGACATATGGGAACTTCCTAACTGATTAGCAGCAGCAGCAGCAGCAGCAGAAGAAGATTGAAGAATACTAGAATTTGCCGAAAAAGTTCAGTTCTTCAGAAAATTTTAGCTAAATTTCAAAAAACTAGAAAAGATAACAAGGGGCAAAATAGAAAAGCACATGCAAATCAGCATAGAATTAGTCCTCAATAGCAAAGAGAACTGCTCATCTGCACTCTACACCAACTTCAGCAGCTCGCCTAGGCTTGTTTTTCCTTCTACTCCCATTTTGTCTAAATCCAACTGACTTTATTAAGTCATTGGAGTTAGTTTTAGTCCCAATACCATTTTCCATTTTCACTGAATCTGCTTCCTTGACTTGTGAAATTCTCTTCCTCTTCTTTCCATTCACAGCAGTTTGGTTCTTGACATCTTTATTTAAGACAGAACCTTTAGTATTCTCACCGTCATATTCATCTTCTTCTACTTTCTCCTCATTTTCTTCTTCCTCCTCTATTTCATCCTTTAGTGGTTTCAGTGGTCTTCCCCTTCTCCGCACTGGTATCTTCTCTTCTTCACCACTTCCAATATCGTCACGCACAGATTGCTTCTTTGCCTTTCCTCTTCCTCTGCCCATTGTTCAAAGCTGGAAATTCTTCTCCTGAAGACTTCTTTTACAAATATAAAGCTCAGAGGCCTTAAAATAGAATGTAGCACTCCAAGAAAAAAATTAAAAATCCTATGAAATACACGAAAAGAGCGGATTAGACAGAACCACACAATCTTAAAGAACCAAATATATGAGGAGGATTATACTTCAACTCATGAAAACAGTTCTGAAAAAGAGAATCCCACCGGATATCATACATCAACATGAACAGTAAAGATAAAAACTTTATCTTTGATGAAAGTGTATCCTCAAAACTCCAAATTGAAATCGGAAAAATAAAAGGGCAGCCGGTGCACGAAACATCCGCATTCACTCAGGGTTCGGGGAAGGGCCGCACACCGTGTGATATGTAAAACTTAAATAACTTTAAGAACTTTTTTTTTCACAAAATAGCAAAACTTAAATAAAGAGAATGATTCAAATGAAACATAAATTCTTCATAAATTATTCAAANCCCAAAAAAAAGAATCTTTAATGAGAAATTCAAAACACAACCTTGCCATATATAACATTCATCAGATAATTAAAAAGAACACAACATACCATATCATTAAGAAGCAAATCAAGAACATCAAAAACACAAGAGAAAAAAAAAACATGGCAGCTTACATTAAAACTCAAACAAGACCAAATATTGATGGAACTTTACAGTACAACATAAAGATTGAATCTTTAGACTAACCCATAAAGAATCTATCATTAAGCTATTTTTTATGCTGCTTTTGGAATTAAAACAGAGTAAAACATACCTAAAGAAGCGGATTTTTCAAGAATCAGCCACTATTTGCATCTTTAACCACAAACCATTTCTGAAAATCTCATAAAACCAATTAAAAATCCAAAGGAATCTCAATAGTCAGATGGGTTAATATTGTGGAGTGTTAAAGGTTGAACAAACAACAGTGATGCAAGTACAGAAGCTAAATATTATTTGTCAGAATAAAAAACTGGTAAGAAGGAAAATATAGAAAAGAACAGATCACAATAAAGAGTTTAATATGCGAGTGGAGTTTTGAGGAGATGAATTTATGCCATTAAAGGTTGAGAGCTGTGGGAATAAGCTAAGGCAAGAGGCAAAGCCAAAGAACACTACAAATGAAAGAAGTGAAGAGAGGAAAAAAGGGACAGTAATATTAGTAGTAGAAATTGTTGAAAGATCATTTTATTTAGGGAAAAGAGCCAAATATACTCTCTACTTTCCTATATTATTTATATTTAACCTCCCTTATTCCATCATGCCAAATTTACTCCTACGATCATCAAACTTTTAAAAATACCCCTGGATCTATTAAGTAATACAAAATCTCCTAAATTCTTTTTATTTAAATCACTTGTTGTTTTTCTTGGTCCACTATTTTTAAAATAATTGGCATTTACCTACTTTCTGAATTAGAGAGAAAAAAAAAGAGAAAAAAATATTAAATAATACAATCGAATAAACAAAGTATAGTAAATTAAAAAATCTAAATTAGGTAACTTTTCTAAATTCTAAAAGTATTTACAACATCCCAATTTTAATAAATTCATTGCACCAAATGTATAGAGACTTTGCAAGTATTAGTGATTGAAGATGAAGTTCCTTGGAGACTTTACATTGTCTAATTCAACTTTGCTTTAATTAAATGCCTAAACATTGTTCACTCTAAGTTAGTCGATCGAACTTTATACTAACCAAGTAATGATAAAATATATTTGAATATACTTGTACATAGATGATGATCAACTGCATATAATATAAAATAAATAGACCCACTAAATTCTACGGTGTGTATATGATTGAAAAAATAAATAAAATTCTAAACCAATTTTATTTATTACAAGAAGAAAAATGAATGCATTGATAATTAAAAAACATTATGAATAATTTGTATAGTCTAGTAACTTTAGTATTCACATAAATAGTAATTTTTGAAAATAATGGAGCAAGAAGAACAACAAGTGATTTAAATAAAAAGAATTTGGGAGATTTTGGATTACTTAACAGATCAAGGAGTATTTTTAAAAGTTTGCTGATTGTAGGGGTAAATTTGGCCCGATAGTATAACAGAGGTTAAATATAGATAATATATGAAAGTAGATAGCTATATTTGGCCATTTTCCCTTTTATTTATCTCAACGGGCACTTTGGGAAATTAGGGTAAGTTACAAAAGAGAGCTTAGGTGTTTGGAGATAATAGGAAAAAGAAAATGAAATAAAATTTCAACCAAGTAAGATTAAATTATTCTTTCTGTTTTATTTTATATAGCACTCTTTCTTTTTTTTACTTATTTAAAAAGATAACACCTTTCTACTTTTAAAAAGAATTTAAATTTAAATTTTATTATATGTAACATATTTTCATAACAAAAATATCTTGACATATTTAATATACAGTTTTAAAAGTCTTTTTTAAATTGAACTTTTGTCAAACACCGTAATATAAAAAGAAAAGGAGTAATAGACTTAAAAAGGAAGGAGTGGGGTTGTACTATGTGAATTATTAAGGGGACATCTTCATGAACATCTCATGGCTTGCCTTTACTACGTAAACCAAGTTAATGTTTAGCGAATAATTAGTAGAGTATTTAATAGATGGTAAACATGATCTATTTTTAAAGATGAAACAGTTCATAATATATGAGATAGCACTAAAACGTAAGCAAAAAAATTGAACTTGATTTTGTTTAGTATAAACAAAAATGACTTTTCAAGATTTAGAGGAGTTCAATAGTAAGAAAAAATATTTTATTTGTTTAGCGTTATGTTTGACTAAATGAGATACATAAAACTCACATAATGAAGAGTCTCTGAAATTAATAATCATTTGACTTCTAATGTTATGATATTACTTTCTATCTTGATTTATATTTATATCATGATTTTATTATTTGATAAGAAAGGCAGATATTGACTCTTTGAATACTATATCAATGTAATTGGTTTCAAGTATTACGTGATGTGGAAGGGGAATTATTATTCCGTAATTTCGCAGTTTCTTTTTTAGAAATTGTTGTTGTTATATTTTAGTAGCCAGTAGTAAAATATTTTTAAAGAATATTGAGAAAATCGGAGGGTAGTTTAGAATCCGGATAACCCCCATTGGCATGTACTAGGAACCGTTTGGATTGGCTTAAAAAAAGTGGCTTTTCAGCAGAAATAGTTTATAAGTCAAAAAGCAATAAGTTGGAGTTGCCCAACTTATTACTTTTGGCTTGTTTTACGTAGCTTTTAGCTTATTTTAAATACTTTTTAACTTTGTCAAATACTGAAAAAAAATACAAAAAAGATTAAAAGCTGATTTAACCATCTTAAAAGCTAATCCAAACACCCTCTAGGTCTAATTATTAAGAGTGAAATTCAAAAATATCCAGATTTACAAGTGGTAATTGAAAAATAGCCACAGTTTCAAAAGTAATCGAAATTTAACCACTTTTCATGTAAAGATAAATTCGAACGAAAACACTATCCAAAATCTGGAAAAAAATTGAAGCATAATATACTGGACTTACAGCATAATGTACTGGATTTCCAGCAAAATATACTGGAGTTCCAGCATAATATACTGGTAGAGCATAATATGCTGAAAGTTCATACACATGTGCTCCAATATCCAGTATATTATGCTGGAAATTTCCGTGTGTTGGAGTTCCAGCATAATATGCTGGAAGTTCATACACAAGTGCACCAATCTCCAGTATATTATGCTGAAACTTTCCGTGTTGCAGCAAAATAGTGGCTATTTTTTAATGATTTGCAAACGCTGGCTATTTTTCAATTACCAGTTCGAAAACTGGCTAGCCCGTGCTATTTTCACAATTATTAATTCTAGGATGAAATGACTGGAAAGCCCTCTCTTTGTTGGGCTGTCTGCATCCCATATGTCCTAGGGCCCACATGTTGAGTTGGTTGATGACTTGATCCTGTCAAAAGGGCAGATACTTGAGTAGGTTGGTTGCTATGGGCTAGTTACTCAGCCCAATTCAGTAATTGGGCCTTTTGATATGCCCAGCATGAATTGAGATTAAGCCCAGTTCAGTTTGACCCAATCAGCAGTCCCTTAGTCCAGTTGGAAACTATATGGCAAAGATCACTTTTAGCCCACGGCCAACAGTAGTGGAAATAATATCAGGTAGCCACTTTTAAGCATGTTGTTTAAAATATATCCACAGTTTAAATTATATTTAAAGATCAGCCAATTTCGCTCAAATTTTAGGACGCGTCGTCCTAGAGTTTAAACCTCAAAATTCAAACTTCAGGGCATCGTGTCCTAAAGTTCGAAAATTGTGTCCTGAATTTTAAATTAGTAGTTCAGAAATTCAGGACATCGTGTCCTAAAGTTCGAAAATTATATCCCGAAGTTCAAATCTTATGTCCTGAATTTTAAATTAGTGGTTCAGAAATTCAGGACACTTAGTCCTGAATTTCAAATTAGCAGCTTAAAAATTCAGGACACTAAGTCTTGAGTTTTCAAATTCAAATACTTAGTCCTGAAGTTTAGGTGAATTGGCTAATCTTTAATTACATTGTAAATTGATGAATATAATTTATTCATATATTTTTATATATTAAATATTAATGATTTTAAATAAAACATGAATAAATATATCATGTTCTCCCATATTATCTAACATACTTCGCAGGAGGAAGAGCATATGAAAATTAAAGAAAAGAAGCAAAAAAGTGGGAATTGAGTAGCCAACTGGGAATGAAGAAGTAAATGGACTAAAGCACCATAGTTGCAACGATAGCAATTGAAAATCATAAAGGAAATCACATAGTTGCAACTAGAGAACTATAGTTAAAACTATAGTCTTTCTCTGCAGAATGAAACTCAATTGGCAAGTTCATAGTTGCACCTACAATTTCCATAGTTGCAACTATGAAGAACATTTTGCATAAAACTCTATAAATAGAGAGTGAATTTTGGAAAGGAGACATTGAGTCTTGCGGGAGAAAATTACTCTTTGGTCTCTCTCTCTTTTGTCTTTAGTATTTCCTACTAGTTGTCTTTCTTTTAGAAGAATAATATTTCTTCATAAGTTCTTTGTTCCTAAATTAGTTTTTCTTACTTCGTAATGGAGTAACTTCTTTTGTTGGGATAGTTGATGAAGCTTGATATATATATTTATAATACTATCTCAGTTTAATACATCCTTGGCTTGAAACTTTCTTTTTATACTTTGTATTGTGCCGTAATAATAGTTTTAATCAATCATTATTATCACTTCTACATATTTTATCTCTAAGTTATTCTTATATTAATTTTGTAATTCTCACGAAGCAAAATTGATATATAATAACCAATGAATAGAATAGTAGAGTGAGAGTAATTTTTAGTAATCTATTATTCCAAGTTCGTAATCTTGCTTGCCTCAGTTTTAATTCTCACGGAGGAATTGTTGTAGGCAAGATTATTGATTTTTTAGTAAAAATATTCTCACGAAGTTTTTACTACCTCTTAGCGCAATTCAAGCAAGAAAAAATATTTCGGTTTAATCGTCACTAGTTTTAACCCAATTAATCACATAACCTCACGGAGTGCTTTTAATTGACTACTTCTTAGTGAGCTAAGTATAATTGTATTAGCAATAAGCAATTATTCCTCAGAGAAATACATGAAAAAATTGAGATTTTATTGTAATATACTATCAAATGAATTCAACGATTCCCAACTCTTTTAAATTATAAATCTTCCGAAAGTTCTTGATTTTTGTTTAAGTAATTAATAAGCTTTAAATCTCACTCACTTTTCATCAAATTGATTCTCTCAAATAGTAGTTGAAATATTAAAAGTCTGTAGCATAGATGTTCCAATCTTTGTGGGACGATATCATAAACTATACTAGAATGTGACAAAGCACGAGCAGGAAAATCCTATACACATTGGCCCCGTCATAAACTGTGGATATATTTTAAATAGCAGGCTTAAAAGTGGCTATTGCTGCATTGCGCCCCCAAAACTACTTACTTCGGGTAGCCGCAACAGTGTATAAAATTTGTATATTTCTTCTATATAATATACAGAAATATATATATGCAGTGACACCTTATTTGATTCTTTTCATTTCAATACATTTTTACTTTTGCAGCAAAGAGAATCAATGACTTCAAGCTTTGAATCAGCTATCTAATTTTAATTTTCAGCATAATTTTTATCTATG